AATCGATGCGTTTTTGTAAGAAAAATATCCATATTTAAAACGTAATAATCACTTTAATGTAGCTTGCGCCAACAGTTGTACACAGAAGCAGTTCCGGGAGCATGACAGTGAAAGTTCTGTCATCATTGGTGAGCGCAAGCTAGATTCAAGTGATTATTACGTTTTTAATATGGATATTTTTCTTACAAAAACGCATCGATTCGCTACAGAAGGCCTTTGTTCACCCCCCGGAGCCGTGTGAGACACTTTTTTTTATGGATGGGCGCTTTTTATTTAACTTCTTTTGGACTGAAGCAATGCAACACCCGCTGAGTGCCATGAAACAGCTTGAAAGATCAAAGACAATTTTTAATATAACTCCGACTGGATTCGTCTGAAAGAAGAAAGTCATATACACCTAGGATGCCTCGGGGGTGAGTAAAACGCAGCCTCATTTTAATTTTTGGGTGAACTAACCCTTTAATCCACCCCATACCTAAACTTAACAACTACCTTACTAACTATTAATAAGCAGCAAATTAGGAGTTTATTAAGGGAAAAATCTTAGTTAATAGTGAATATGTGGTCTCTATTCTAAAGTGTTGCTACCTACTTTTTTGTCGTTTCTGAAGCTTTATAGCTTCTGGTCACTGAATGCTTCTCATAAGCTAAAGAACTGCAAGAACATTCTTCAAAATTGTGGTCCACGGAAGACAGAAAGTCATACTGATTTTTCATTTTGTGTGCATTTTTTTCACATCTTTGAAATGTTTAATTAATTTCAGTATTATGTAAATGCTCTTCCATCTGTTTGTACCAACCATAGAGAATGTACGTTCCCATGGGCTTGAGCAAAGTTAGGCCTTTTCCTGTGTTCTCCCCACACAAACAGTCCAGTACAATATCTACTCCATCTGGAGATATCCTGCATAAGAAAAGAGACATCATTAACCATATTGCTGCTCCAAGCACTGGTAGGCTGCTTAAATGGGGGCCTCTGAAAATTTGGAATATTAATAATACGCTAATATTGAATATTGTTCAGTGTCTCAGCTGATAAGGAATGAGAGGTATGTCTTTATAAACATTGGGCTCTAATGCGTTCCTGTCTTCATGGTTCTTGGACCGCCTACAAAGCTTAACCATTAGGAGGTCTTGTGATGCCCGGGGTCCTGCCTTTTGTGGAAGCGAGACCAACTTGAGTCCAATTTAATTTTGCTTTGCCCCTGATCCTGACTGGAATGTGGAACCACAGAGATGAAAAGAGTGCTAATCTCCTCTCTCATACTCAATTTACGTGAATTAGTTTGAACATAAACATGCAGCAAGATCAAATCACTTCAATAAAACATACTTTGTTAAAATAACACAAAAATACCAAATACTACCATAGTTTTCTAAATATAAACCAAGGTAGTAATATATTGTTTACAAATGAAATCCACCATAGGAATTGTTAGACAAAAGCACCTAAATATTAAAAATGTTAATAATAATATTAAAACATTTCCTCAAATTTGTTGCGGCTAGCTCTGAATGTGTCAGTTTCTGCACATTTTCTGGCTTTGTTCGACCAAAAACATGCACCAAGCTCAAATCACTTCAATAAAACATATATTTTGTTAAAATAAAACTAACACAAAGCATCAAGTACTACCATTCAAGACTTCAACCAAACTATGTTGTGTATTTTAGAATTACCATGGTCTTGCCATAATAACTTTTTTGTAAGGGAAACCAATAAAAATAGAGAAAACATGCTTTAGAGATCCACCATAGGAAACGTTAGACAACAGTCCATAAATCTACAAAAAAGTGTTTCCTCAAATTTGTTGCAGTTGGCTCTGACTGAATCAGTTGCTGCACATTTTCTGGCTTAGTCTGAACATAAACATGCATTAAATCACTTCAATAAAATACATATTTTGTTAGAATAACAAAAAAAAGTACCAAGTACTATCATTCTAGACATAAACCAAGAAAATGTTGTTGTTGCTGTTTTGTATTTTAGAATTACCATGATGTTTTTACCATTACTGCACCATGGTCTTGCTACAGTACTTTGTTTTGTAAAAGTAACCAATACAAAATGAACAAAAGATGCATTACAAATGAGATCCACCATAGGAACTTTTAGACACCCGCCCTTAAATCTTCTACAAAATAAAGTTCACTCAAATTTGTTGCGGCTGGCTCTGAATGAGTCAGTTGCTGCACATTTTCTGGCTTTGTGTGGTTGATCAGAAGGACGTACATTTGCCCCTCCCCATACTACAACACACTACTTTCCCATCTGCTGGGTGTTGCCATGGGGACTGGAGCCACGCAAGTCTAGAGGAAGTACTGGTGACGTCTGAATCTCAGACTTGCACTGGCCTCCCAGTATGACTCATTTTTATATTCTCATCATCTAACTAATCCCGCTTCTCTGTGCTCATTTACTTACTCGCATAACAACAACAACAACAACAGTGTTTGTGCTTACTTCTTAACTTCCGGAACGTAGTCGATGTTTCTGTCAAACAGATGAGTGACTGAATGCTTTATGGCTTCGTGCTTGAAGGGTGAGGCGGTCCCAAACACAGTGACATTTGGGACAGTGGAACAAAGTTGAGCGACTGCTTGACCCTAATATGGAAAAAGAGAAACTCATTTTGATCATATTCCACCAAAAGCCATATTGTTAAGCTTGGAAAGCTGAATATCAGTATGGGATCAGATTATATGTTTGTGTCCAAATCCCCATTTTTCTATAAGCTAAAATAAACATAACTTTAATATCTGCGACATCAAAGTTTCTTTACTAAACCTTTTCAAAGCTACAGACTTACCACCGCACCTCCTGCGGAGTGAACTAATACAGACATCCCCTCCCGGAGATTGGCCACTTCAAACAGCATCATGTAGGCAGCCACAAAGTTCATAGAGAAGGCAGCCGCCTCTGGGAATGTCATGTCGTCTGGGATCTTATGCACGAAATCCAACGGTGTGCACACCACCTCTGCCCAAGCATTGTAGTTTACAAAGGCCATCACTCTGTCACCTATCTGAAATGAGGCAAAACATGGTCCTTAAAGGAACAGTTCATCCAAAATAAGAATATGCGTACAATTTACTCAACCTCAGGCCGTCCAAGATGCAGATGAGTTTATTTTTTCATTGATTTGGAGAAATGTAGCATTGCATCACTTGCTCACCGATGGATCCTCTGCAGTGAATGGGTGCCGTCAGAATGAGAGTTCAAACTGCTGCTAAAAAAATTGCAAGTAATCCACACGAACCAAGCTCATCAATTATCATCTTGTGAAGTGAAAAGCTGTGTGTTTGTAATAAACAAATTCATCATTAAAACATTTTTTATTCCAAACCTTGCTTCCAGCTAAAATACATACATCCTCTATCTATTATATTGCTTTCTCCAGAGAAAAGGTTGCATCGTCTGATAAAGTGAGGGTAGAAATATGCAAAGATCAAACACCGTTTAGAAGCATAAACCGTCCAAAACAGTTCTAAACAAATATGATGTGAGAGGACAACAGGGGACGGACTTTTTCCATTTTCACTGGAGGAATGTGTTTTTTAATGGATTATGGCCTCAATTATTTTGGCCAGAAGCAAAAGTTTATAATTAAAACACTGGATTTGTTTCTAAAAAAAACAAAAAAAAAAACACAGGGCTTTCTGCTTTACAAGGCATTAACTGGTGGTCTGGAGTCGTGTGGATTACTTGTGCATTATTGTGATGTTTTTATCAGGTCTCATTCTGACGGCACCCATTCCTGCAATAGATATACTGGTGAGCAAGTGACCCAATGAAGAAACTCATCTATATCTTGGATGGAAAATTTCATATATGGGTGAACTATTTCTTTCACCTCTATAAAGCAAACTCAGTACCAGACTGAAAGGACTGATTTCGGAAGCATATAAAACCAGGACATTTTTTTTTCCAGTTGAACATTTTTATGAAAACTTAGAAAAGTACTAACCGCTTCCTGAATAAGTACACAACCACAACACATCAGCGTTAAAAACATTTCTGCGCATACCTCAAAGCCTTTGGTGTTTTCTCCCACAGACTCTACAATCCCAGAACACTCAAATCCAGGCACAAGAGGCGTTTTTGGAGGATTATCAATATTTCCTTGACGCACCATTAGATCAAGAAAGTTCAGCCCACTGTAAAATTAAAAGATAATGTAGCTAATACTTAATTCTAGTTCATTTCAATCATAAATCAGAAAGTATTCTGAAATACTCCAAATTTGATCAAGTTCACAATACACAATAACAATTTTATATTATATATATAATAGGCGTTATTCCAAGTATTTACGCGATATTACACTCTAAAAAATGCTGGGTTAAATACAACCCAGTGCTGGGTAAAATAGGGACAAACCCAGCAATTGGGCTGTTTTGACCCAGCGGTTGGGTTAAATGTTTAACCCACCCTTCTGGGTAGTAACCCAACCGCTGGGTCAAAACAACCCAATTGCTGGGTTTGTCCCTATTTTACCCAGCACTGGGTTGTATTTAACCCAGCATTTTTTAGAGTGTACTAAAGTTTAAATGTCCCAAGAGCAGTCAAGCACATCAAGAACCAACTAGATGAGGATCTGTTAGCAGATATTATTCCTAAATGTGACACAGAACTGTTAAATGTTTTGTTTCAATAATTTAATAGTCATAAGTAAACATTCAAAAGTATATCCTTTCACAGCATATGGTTTGAAATCTCTGAAGTGGATGCTGAGCTCCGCAGAGGAATCAACAAAACAGGTACGGATTATTTTTTCTGATTAAGCATCTAACCTCCAAAACCACCAACATTCATATCATGAACGGTTTTGAACCCCAAATAAAATTATTGATATTATGAAGACACCTGCTCTTCTTGCGGCAACATGTTGCTGCTGTTGCCAGTCGCGCGAAGTCTCTTACGCATGTTGAAAAAGATTAAATAAAAGACTATTTAAGATGAAATATTTACCATGCTTTCACGCGAATTTTGACTTCTCCTCCTTGAGGCTCTGGCATTGGTTTCTTGGTGACTTTGAGTTTGTTTATACCACCAAAGCCCGTGAGCAGCACAGCCCGCATTTCTTTTGAATCTACAACCGCACAAACGGGATTATCCGGCTCCTTCTGGTCTATCATTTGCTCGGTCTCTTCAGCAATCTCAGTCCCTTCCTTTGCCATGTCTGAAGACGATGTGAACAGCCTAACGGTCTGCCGAAGCCCTCCTGGAGACTGCGCTCTCTTTGCTGCTCCTTCCGCACCATCCACTAGCGATGTTCGAATCGTGAACGAGTCGTTCTTTCGAACCGTTCATTCGAACCGAATCGCACAATATTTGTAAATCACTGGACTTTTAGAATGTACGAGACTTTTTCCGAAAATAAAGTGCTAAACAGTTTCTTAACTAAATAATTTTGCCCCTCCAAAAAAAAAAAAAAAAAAAA